TCACAAAAAGCGCTTCCATTCGGCGCGAGAAGTTCTTCAAGAAATGGCGAGTCCTTTGTGACCGCTACTACTAAACACCATAACACGGCTGTGGTGAAGCGAGGAATTTCCACGGTAATCGAATACCGCCATCAGACGTTAAAAGAAGTTCATTGCCTGGCAAGGACGTCTAATCTGTAGCGCCCGAAAGTGCCGCCTGGTGCTTGACGAAGCCCTACTTGAGATGGATGTAACTTCCCAAACCTTCATCTCACAACAAGCACCTTATTTGGGCATTATCACGACTAAAGAGGAACTCTGAACGAAGGTCGATCTGGCCAGAAATGCTCACAGGAGGATTCCCTGAAGCACTTGCAGTTCGGTGTCGTGCCAGGTCATCCGGCCCGTCAGATCCTTAGGCTCAAGAAATAGGAACTGATGTCAACAGTCCTAGGCGTCTCAACGCTTCCCTTCATGACAATTGCCTGGAGGGAGGGAGGGAGGGAGAGAGAGAGAGAGGGAGGGAGGGAGGGGAGGGAGGGAGGGAGGGGGAGAGGGAGAGGGAGAGGGCGAGGGCGGCGAGGGAGAGAGAGAGACGGAGAGGGAGAGGGAGAGAGAGGAGAGGGAGAGAGAGGAGAGGGAGAGGGAGAGGGCGAGGGCGAGGGCGAGGGCGAGGGCGAGGGCGAGGGCGAGGGCGAGGGCGAGGGCGAGGGCGAGGGCGAGGGCGAGGGTGAGGGTGAGGGTGAGGGTGAGGGTGAGGGCCACCCAAACCCACTTCACATGTACAACTGGACATGCTCTCCCGGCCTCGACTGGCCGCAGCTCGTCTTTGCACACCCATGCTTTGTGCATGCCATCGTCGAATCCGACGTACACACGCCCTGTGGCATGGTCCACTTGCTTCACGCGGACCTTAACATTGCCATCCTTGTAGCCCAGACTGCGCGCCCTGTCATCTGCGAGCAGAAGCTCCTTCCCAGTGACAAGCGCCTCAGTGAAAGGGAGTAACCTCGCACTTCCTGCTTCCCAAGGCAGTGTCTGCAACTGAAACTGGCAAGCATCGAAAAACTGAAGAATGAAAGCCGAGGGAACGCCTCGTCGACGGTTGTTGCGGCGTCCATCGTGCAGGTGGCAGAAATCACAGAAGGCCCCCTTCATGCAACTCCGCAGCGGAGGCTTGTGATAACCTGGCAGAAGCTGAAGGAATGGAGAGCTGCGGGGAGCTGCGGGACTTACAGTCACTTACAGTAGCTTTTGGTGCAGCACAGAAATCGGGACCACAATGGTGCAAGCATGTTCTTACAACGGTTTGCAACTAGGGTGCTGCACACCAAGCACATGGCATTCACACCATCACCAACGTGAAGGGCACTGCCGACGGAGAGTTGAGCCTGCGGTCTTCGTGATCCTTCTGCTCCGGGGATCGGTCGGGTCAGCCTCATGTAGTCACTGAAGCTGATGCAATCCGCTGTGCTTGTAGAGTTGGCCATGGAGACGATGCTCTCTCGCGACATCTGCAGCCTTCTGGCCATGCCCAGTCGCCCTGGCAGAGCCGAACGTGGCCCAAGCACAATTTGCAAGCCCTCCATCGACACCACTGACTCCACGGACGAGCTCCGCGACGCAGCAGCTGGCTGTGCCAGGAACCTGGGTTGTGGGACGTCCTCTTTCGCAGGGACCTGCATCTCGACCCTTCAAAGCGTGGACCACGCCTTGCGAGTGCTGGCTTGTACTGGGGCTTGAGCCCAAGCTGCAGGCACATCATCCTATGATGCGCCTCTGATGTTTGGTAGTGAGAGAAGGATGAGCCGGTGCATGCCGGGGTGCTTTCGGAAGCGCTGGCAGTAGTACATGAAGTACTGGCCCGATGCCTGCCTCAGAGCGAATGGGGAAAAGGTGGGAGATTAAGACACTTAAGCTCTGTAGGAGGATCGCTCAAGACTTGCCGAGCTATTCGGGACCATCATCTACTAGAGACTTCCGAGGAAATTTATCGCTTGTGCCGGATCACTGTCGAGTTCAGGGGTCAGGCACAAGGCGTTCAGGTTCAAGGAGGGTGTGGAACTTGCGGCTTGCGGGGATTCAAGGCAGATATCGAGCACGCCCCAAGTGAGTCTAGGATTTAGTCTTTAGAGTGGCAGCAGCATGTTGGACACCGTTCCTAGACGCAGAGGAAGTTGGCGAAGTCAAAGCAAAAGCATTCCGGGAACAAGATTCGCAGCACGGCATGACAGCGCGTGATGGATGATTGAGAAGAGAGAAACAACCAGATGAAACAACTACTTGCAATTTCATAGGACGTCATGCCCAAGACCAAGCGCAGTGCATCTATCTCTGTGATACCGCTCCCATCCCGCCAAAGGGCCAGTAGGTCTCGCGACCCTGCCTTGAAGCTGGAGAAGCTTACTAAGAGCTTAGGGCGGTGCAGATTCCAGCACCCAAACCCTGAAGAATCTGGTGTCACTTGGTTCGGATGTAGGATTTAGTCAGGGCGCAAACAAGGACTCGGAATGGCGCCTTCCACCTTTGCAGCGACCTCCAACAAAGCCTATCCTAGAATCCTTCAAGCATTGCCCCACCCAACCTAAGGCCATGTTAACACCAAAATCCCCTCAGCCCTTAACCTGCACAGCCCTGGACTCAGGAGGGTGGACCTAGATGCAGGGTGGACCTCTGGCGGTTCGGATCGAACAAGGTGACAAAATGGCACAGCAAGACCCTCACCCCCAACCACAATTTTGTGTGACCCGGACTGACAAACCCACCACCAGAAAGCAGACAAGGGCAAGGCGGTACGGAGGTACTATCCGACGCAACCACGGCGGGAGCTGCCCAAAGGGGCCAAAAGCGAGTCGAACTTCCACTTGAGCATATGTGCAGCAATGGCGGAAAATTGTGCTAACATGCCAATTATTAGCTCCATGGGTGAGAGTGAAGTTTTCCGCTTGGTACTCGTTGCAGCCACACCCTTACAAAGACCGCATGGCATGAATACAACCCTCAACCGAATCTTCAACCATCCCGATAATTCACACTGTTACACCCAGATGCATCTTGAACTCGGCATTTGGACCTTCCAGGTACTCCTTCGGGTTCATGTCTTGCCCCTTCTTACGAGGTAGACCATGCGCAAGAACGCGCGGTGCAGGCTAGGGCTTCATGTTACGTAGCATCTGGGGTAATATTCGGCGGGCCAAAACGTCCGGGGACAATAATACTGTCCATAGGAATTCTTCAGAGTTGGCCAGAGAACAGCTCCAGAGGCTTGTGTCGCCAGCTCTGAAGCGGTGTCCTTGTCTAAGTCGGCCGAAAAGCGAGCCGGAAAGCGGGGTCCCCTTCTGAGCCCCGGAGATGGCAACAATAAATGAGTGGCAATATAAGCTCCCTCAAGAGGCCTCCAAAGCTGAAGATATGGACAAAAAAAGGCAAACCCTGAAGCTTAAGGAGTCCAGCCTTCAGGTGCAAGAGACCCTCCCATGCCAAAGCAGACCGGGCCGCAGACCCTCCAGACACCAGAGCCAAGAACCCTTAACAGCGGCCGACCGTTTCAAACCCAGCCCGTAGACCCCCTTGTCAGGGCGGGAAGGGGGGTTCTTCATGCGCCCCCTAACATGAGGGGCTTAGGTTTTCGGGCCTCGGGGCTTGACCACCTGCTGCGGATGGGCGGCAACTACCGCTCTGGTCCTCATTCAGAGTCTCCTTCTTAAAGCCATCCAGCCTTGGGTGATTTGGTCTCAGGCAAAGGGGGTCTCTTCAATGCCTCAGTTGCTTTACGCTTCTTGCAACGGTTTCAGCAACGCTTTAAGCAAAGCTTTAAGCAACGCTCTAGCAACGCTTTAAGCAACGCGTCAAGCAAC